TCTTTGCCTCCCTCTTCTCTGCTTTATCTTTGAGAGTATCTCGACACCCACTCCCTGTTAACTCGCTCACACACTCTCATGTGTTTCCTCCCCCGTTCCCTCCCGGTTCTGGTGTGATTTCTAAGAACATGTGTGTTTTTAGAAAACATACCTCCCTCATGTTCCTTTTGTTGTCTCATCTCAAATCTCAGACTTTTTTTTTTCTTTTTCTCTCTTTCCAACCTCACGTTGATTCCTCTTCCTGCTCCTGTTTTCTCCCTCTGTCTCTGTGGGAAGGTAAACGTCACAGCGCTATGTATATCTATATTTTTTTGTGTTTCTTAAATTTAAATATATATATATATAAAATCTCCCTTTGTCTGTAAATAATATGAATATTTTGTAAAAGCAGCGTTGAAGCAGATGGAAATAAATCACTGTTATGAAAAACTAATGGTTACAACAATATAGTTTGTACGAAAAAAAAGTGTTTTAAGACAAGCTTGTCACTTATCATATAACTGATAAATATTAAATACATAAATCTATTAATAAACTAAACCCACATGGAAAAAAATAAAGCTGTAAACAATTACTTGGATGATTTGTTTTGTCATTGAACCTTGTCACAGGACAATAATGAAAAAAATAATTTTTAAGTTTGACAAGGTATTTTTCATTTTTAATGTAAAAAATATGTTTTTTAATGTTTAATTTTAATATTTTTATTTTATCAAAATTGTACATTATTTAAAAAAAAACCAGTTTAATTCAACCAGGAATTTAACAATCAGTTGAACTGAATATGGCGTTTTATCATCAAATCTTTTTAATTCATAAATAAACACCCCCCCTCTCCCTCTCCCCCGTGTGTGTGTATGGTGTTTGATCACGTCAGTAACGTTGGTCAGTTAATTTGTCCCAGCTCAGGTATGTGCACCCTAAGGTCTCGTCCCATACGATGATAAGCTGATATAATCCTGCAGCTGATTGGAGCTGGAGTTCAGCTCAGACGTGGCAGCCACAGGCCGCTGGTTCAGCTCACGCCGAGGTGTTGTGGTGAAGAAGGGCGAGGGGATAAAGGGCCTCCACTCTGCCAGCCGAATGAATAATGTAATGTGGTGGAGCAGCTAAGACCACAGTGTGCGCATGTGTGTTTAGATGCAAGACTGTAACGGCCCAGTTGCATTAAAGACACAGAGCCAGGGGAAAGAAAAAGAGAACAAATTAATTCTGAATAACGCCAGCTCAGTGTTGTATTTTAATAATTTATTTATATCTATGAGATTTTTTTTTTTGTATTTATCACAATGTTGTCTTGAGTCTCGTCTTTGGCAAATTCAAATGCAGATTCAAATTCCCGCTGCTGTTTTTATATCTGCCGCTGCCGGGATGCAAATGTCCAGTGTCTATACAGAGCGGTGGGGAAGTGGAGCTGCTGTTTGACGGCTCAGTCACAGACAGAGAGAGTTGAGCTGAAGTGTCTGTGTGTAGTTTCTGTTAATGTTAATGTGACGTCCTCGTGGACTCACCACGTCCTGCGAGAGCCGTTCTGGTCTGGAAGAGGTGTGTTTCTCTGCCCGTGTGTGTGTGTGTTTTCCTGATCTAGCTGTACTCTACTTGTGGGGCCCTTTCGTAGAAAACACACCTTTGTCCTGGGGACGCTTGTACTCCTGGGGACATTTTGCAGATTTAGATCCAGATTTGATTTCTACAAGTGGAGGTTGGAGTAAAGGGGACTACAGAAGGAAACGGACTTATCACAGGTCTCCACTGAGTCAGGATGGTTTTAGGGTTAGTGTTAGGCCAAGGATTGAGATTAGTAACTGTATGTATTTGTAGTAATTATGGTTAGTGTCGAGGGCTGATGGATGTAATATGACTGAGTGAATGTATGAATGTAGAGTATGTGTGTGTGTGTGTGTGTGTGTTTCCTCCTCCCATACTCCTCCTCACAGACATTGTCCCAGAATAACACTCCTTATTACACTAACCCAAATATGTGATGTAAACAGAGGTGAACTCGTTCTCCTCCAACATTTGGAACATTTGTGTCATTTGGACAAGGAGGAGGAGGAGGAGGAGAAACGGTATGAACAAACATCTGCTCTGCATGACTGGGTTTTTATGTTTGTCTTCATCAGGTGGTGTTTCAGGTTTTTATTTGAATGGAAGTGTGTGTGTGTGTGTGAATTATTGCTGACCTCCATGTCCAGGTTTTGACATAATTTGTAAAATGCAGATAATTCTGGAAGTTATTTTTTTCTAAACTTGTTTTTGTCCACAAACGTCAGATACTCAGTTTCCCCTCACAGCAGAGACTGAAGTCACGTGACTTGTATATAAATATATGTATTTGACTGACTTCATCAAAAAACAGTGTTTCCACCGGTGGAAATAGTTGTTGATTCATATCTTGGTTGATCAGTCGACCAATCATTAAACGTTCGTAGAATTCCATTTCCTGTACACACTCAACTAGAACCTGAATAAATCTGAAACTTTTTTTAAACTTCATCCATTAGAAAGTCTTAAAAAAAACGCTCCGTGTTCTCGTCATTTACCGTCCTTCACCTACGGAGGAGTGTCAGTGTTCAGGCACTTTGGAAAAAACATCTGACATCAGAATTTTTGAAAAGCCTTTTTCTGCTGTCCCTCTCTGCCTCCCTCCTCTGTACCAGCTGTAAAGTCACATTTTCCCTCTTAGCCTCTGAGCCTGATATAATTGGGGTGGACTGGGAAAACTTACAGCTTCTAATGGAAAATAAGAGCCGTAAAAACAAGAGCGGCGGTCGTTCCAGGTTGTTCGGTGGTCTCTGAGTGATGCACATGTTGGACGGATACTTTGACCCGCTTCTGCGGAGAAGAATGCATCTTTGTTGCGTGGCCCCGGGTCACTCCTGCAGCTGTCATTTTCCTGGCCTGCGAGAAAATGACCTGCGCCGAGTCGTTCTAGTTCAGCGACAGTGAGCGGCGGCTTTAAGTTTCCATTTCCTTACCAGTCAAATAAACCCTCTGTATTTTCTTCTAAATGCTTTTTATTATATACTCTGCTCTGATTTTTTTTTTTTGGGTGTCGTCATTTGGTCAGAGTCTTGAGTCTGAGTTCACGACTTGCTGGTCTGGCAGTGAGGTTTGTAGCTTGGCAATTTGAAAATGCCATAGGTCATGTCTTTAGGGTTTTAAGAGTAATTCTGAATGGTGAGAGGGAGGAAGCGTGTGCACATAACGAAAGCAAAGGATGAGGAAACCGACGTGTTGCAGAGGAGGTGAATTCCTGTTGCATCGACATAAACAGTGGGAGGTTAGAAACCTAAAAGAACGGCTCAGGTGTACAGCAGGTTAGAACCTAAACTTCAATTTGACTGAATGTTGATCAAACACGGACGGAAGTTTTTACAACATAAAGATATTTACATGGCATATATACATATTTATGTGTATATATGTCTATATATTGAAATATATATATATATTTATAAATACATATACACACGTACAGTATATATAAATATATTTATAAAATTGGCTCCAAAATAGCAATAGCAAAAACAGATTTTTTTTTTTAAGTTGGAAACCGATCAACTTGTGTGTAGTTATAGTACGAGTGTCATTAGAACTAGCTTTTTTTTAATGTAAAAAATATAATTTATCATTTAATATAAACAAATATTTTGAACAGGTTGAAAAGAGGTGATGTGACCAGGATACGAGTTAACGCCAAGGTCTGGTCAGTGGGAAAAAAAAATTTTTTTTAAATTCAGCTCAGGAAAGACCCTAACGTTTTGGTAATTATATCATATAATAAAATATATATTATATTGTTATATGTACACACATGAAAAAAAATAAAACCCTGTGACAGAGAAAAAAGTAGAATTGAGTTGAATATTATTTAATTAAAAATATCTTATATAATATATAAATGTGTGTGTATATATATATAATACATATACACACACATACATATATACATATGTGTATATGTATATGTATATGTGTGTATATATGTACTGTATATATGTAAATGTATGTGTATATATGTATATAGGTATATGTGTATATATATATATATACAGTATGTATGTATATATATATATAAACAAAATAGACCATGATGTGTTTGACAACTATGATACAAAACCAAAAATAGATCACAAACTGCAGAAGCTCGTTGGCGACGGCAGGAGAGGGGAAAAAAAAAACCTCCCTCATGACAAAAGCAAGAGTAGAGTCTGATGAAGACATCCTGGAGACAGAGGACACAGACTGGAGGTTTATGATGTGATTAAACTAGAACACTGTTGTTCTGGAGATATTTATTTATGATGAGGTGTGAAATCCAAAGAACACAATTCCCACAGGGTAACGAGGAGGGGCCGCCGTGATGCTGTGTTCCATCTACAGCTGCGAGAGCGTACAGTCGCACGAGCACGAGGAGGGAAGTGATCATGAAGTGTAAAAAAGAAAACCTCAGCTGGTCAAGTGGTTTTTCTCTTGTTTATCTCAAGGCCTTGAGGCGTATTTTCAAACAAACAGAGTCTGTAGAGAGAACCGAAGGTCAGAGCCGTCCTGACCTTTAAATCAGGCTCAAAGATAAATAGTTTTTTTATGGAACCTCTGGAGATTGAACTGCTTTGTTTCCAACAGTGAGTCAGGTACTGCTACAGACACGGTGTCAGTGATGATGAGAGGAATCTAGAACATTCTCTGTAATCTCACTGTTTTACCAACTTTGTCTTTGCCGTAAAACAATTGCCCAAAACAACAAGATGAAGCACCAACCACCCATGATGCTTTTTTTCTTTCTCTCCACTGTGCCGGAAACTCACCGTGCAGTGTGTGTGTGTGTGTGTGTGTGTGTGTTTGCCCCTCCTGACACCCATACGTACCTCTTGTTTCTGCACTGCTTTTACTTGAGATTTTCTGTGTTTCTGGGGGTGTGTGTGACATTTCTGCAGTCGTGTCAGCGGATGATGTGTGTGTGTTCGTTGTGTTTTTTTTGTTTTTTTTTAACAGTGACATCATCAAGACGATGCTGCGTGTTATCGTGATAATTCTGTGCAAACTTTACAAAATCAAGGCCAAGAGCTGCAGAGTTACCTCTGTCCTACAGAGACTCAGGTCACTGTGGTGGTAGTAGTAGTAGTAGTAGTAGTAGTAGTAGTAATAGTAGTAATAGTAGTAGTATTTAGATTCTCTATTTGAGGATTACATTAATAACAGTTGCAAATGCAACTCACATTATAATGACATGACATTCATGAAAGTGAGGAAACAGAACAGGAACTCTACCTGAATTATTGTGACAAAGATCGATCTTTTATCCAGGTCGTCTCAGCCATTGGTTAATGGTCGAACCCTGGACGTTTCTACGGCTGAAGGAGCCGATGTAGAAGAACGACTGTTTGAGGGTCGCCATACGACACGGCAGACTTTCTGACTTTTATCAGCAATTGTTCCAGCAAATGTTGTCCTTGTTGCCTCGAGCGCAGACGATAACTCTTATCCCAGAGCTTTGGCATGAAACGTTACAGTACACACACACACACACACACACACACACACAGAGAGAGTTGCAGAGCCGCTGCCTTTGTTTTAAGTCTTGTCAGCGGCGGGTGGTGGTGGCGGCGGCGGCTGACGGGGGTTTGTAGAGGAAGAACTCCGAGCCTGTCGCCTGCTCTGGTTGTGGCCCTGATTTGAGTCTCATATTGCTCCTACCTGAATGTTTGTTCTGAGGAGCTGTATGAGTCATAATGCCAATATGATTTTGGTTCTGACAAGGTGGTTAAATTTTGACATTTGTTGGAATTGCTTAAAAATATTGTCGTGTCTAAGGTGAAACGCTTCTGCTGGTTTCCTGTCAACCAAGTCTCAAGCTTGGTCTCGTGTTTGCTATCAGAGGTCTGACAGCTCGACAGCAGCCGCTGTACGCCCAACACGCCATCACCCAGTCGTGCGTCGGCCACGTTCTTGGCAAGGAACGAGCTGATACAAAAATGCTGTTTATCGGAAACTGATCGGAAAATGGGCTGTTGGGTTTCGGAGAGGTGGGGTGCGTAGGCGACCAAAAGGGAGGGGTACGTCTATATTCTGTCTCCGTCGCCCTGCACCCTCTTTTCACACAACAGGAAGAAAAGTGAGTGAGAGGAAGAACGGTAGAGGTAGACCATCCACAAGGATGAACCTTTAACTCCAACTTCTGCCGAAGGAGATCAGAGCTGTTGGAGGTGAACCTCCGAGGACAGGAGGAAACGGTGGTTCTTCAAAGACCGAGGGAGGAGAAACCAGAGGGAGAGAAAGAGTGAAAACATGGATGCCATGAGGCACGCACCGCCTCGGCTTCAGATGACTGTGCCTGTGCCCATGAAGACAGGGAAGGTAGGGCTGACATTTTAGTCAAGTGTGAGCTCCTTCAGCTGCTTCAGCCGTGGCTCGGAGCGTCTCCCACGTCTGTGTGTTAACGTAAATGCGTTCAGGGTCGTTTTAAAAGTTTGACTTTTTAAAAAAAAAAAATTTTTTGCTGTGGTTTGGGTGAGGCACATTGTTTTTCTTAAAAGGGTTACTTAGTGTTACGAACATCACACAACAGGTTAAATTGAACAATAGTGGGTGGGGGGGCAGAAAGAGATTGGCACGCAATGTGTGTGTGTGTGTGTGCGCGTGTGTGTTTAGCAGGGTGTGTTTTGAAGCAGGTTAGTCAGGTGGATGTGCCATCCAGCCCTCTGGGCTCTGTGTGAATGTTGTTGTTCCACGACCAGGGGGGGCTGCCGGTTGCTATGGGGGAAAGATTAAGAGCAGGGAGGAGGAATCTGGAGGGTGAGTTGTTGTTTGTGGAAAATCTGGTCTGCTCAGGTGTGCCACACGTATTGTTGAGCAGGTACATTGTGGACGGAGCGGAGCGTGAGCTCAGGGAGCTGCAGAGGGGAGTCGTTGGGTCTTATTACCAGCAGGACTCGTTGGACGCGTTGAGAGAATTAAAGGAACTCCTTGTCCTCGTTTGACTTTCTTTGAGGACATTAAACTCCCGACCTGCTGATGATTTGTCTCCGTTTGTCAACTCGGAGATCGGTGAAAAAATTCAATCAATCAATTCACAAACACTGATTTTTGACCCTTTTGTTTTTTGCTTCATTTTAAAGCAAAATGACATTTAGTCCAAGCGTTTACAACGGTGTTGTGGTAAAGATAAAGAACGCACCAAACTGGTTTTGTGTCTTAATTTTTTTTTTGCCAAGTTCCACCGAAGTTCCACCGAAATTCAACAAAATAAAATCTTGAAAATGTTCTGTACAGCAGCGCCCCCTAACCTATTTTGTATCAAGGACCAGTAACAGATGTCAGCAGATCATTAAGGCTCAGTATAACATAGTTTAGACTTCCTGTCCCGGTGCAATCTGAGAGACAAACTGTTGGTTCTTCTTCAAATAAAATAAAGGAAATTATTATTTCTTTCAATGCCGACCGGTACTAAATTACCCACGGTACATGGACTAGTCCAGGAACCAGGGTTTGGTTACTCCTTGCTCTACAGTAGCCGTAGGTTTCAAACCCCCGGCCCAGAACCTCGACGATGACATCTGTTCCCACTCGCCTGATCTTTATCAATCTCTTTCCTGCAGGTGGCGATGTCTCCAGGAGAGGACGGTCTGATTGGAATCCCCTTCCCGGAGCACAGCAATGAGCTGTTGTCGCAGCTCAACGACCAGAGGCGGTCGGGGCACCTGTGTGACCTCACCCTCACGTCCCGCGGGGCCAGATATCACACCCACCGCTCCGTCATGGCTGCCGTCAGTCTGTACTTCCGTCGGCTGTTTGGGACCGAGGAAGCAGGGGGGGAGGGTGGGGGAGGGTTCAGCGTTTGTCAGCTGGACTGCGTGGCACCAGACGCCCTGGACGCCCTGCTGGAGTTCGCCTACACCGCCACGCTCACTGTCCCGAGCTCGGGGATGAGGGATGTGCTGCAGGGCGCTCAGCTGCTGGGCATCCAGTGCGTGGCTGACGCCTGCAGAGAGATCCTGGGGGAGGAGGCCGGGGACGTGGCAGAGGAGACCAGGGTCCAGTACACGCCTCCCAAGAAGGTGACGGTAGAGGAGGTTGATGTGGAGAGGGTGTCCAGACGGAAAAATGACAGGAAAAAGGTCCGAAGAATTGGGTTGAATTGGATCAACCATTCGCTCGTGAACCCGTCGCCCGCTTCTCCTGTTTCTCAACCGTCCATCGCATCCGACAGCCTGCGCTCTCCGCCGTCCACGCAGTCCCTGAGCCCCGACCAGGAGCTCCGCCTCAAATCAGAATGGCAAAATGGAGATCCTGAGTCCGTCAAAGAACCAGGAAGAGGTGCCGCCCCGAACGGAGGCCACGTTCACTGGATCCACGATCGGCCCAGGATCGCCCACCCGCCTCCTGTCGCCGCCGCCAACCACAAGCCCTCGCAGAACGATGACACGGAGAGATTCGGTGAAGACGGCACGTTCATGGGAAGCACGTCGGTTCCGACCTCTGCGTCTGAGAGGGTGGCAGTGACGGCTACGGTGGGAGAGGGCAGGAAGAGGAAGTCCCAGACGCCACAGCAGTGTCCCGTCTGTCAGAAAATCATCCACGGAGCGGGAAAACTGCCCCGACACATGAGGACGCACACGGGAGAAAAACCCTTCCAGTGCTCGGCCTGTGGCGTTCGCTTCACCCGGTACACAAATATGAAGAGCACGTGTATAAAGTACATGCTCCGTTGTGTTTTACTGCAGTACATTTACTGTATTCCTTCCTCTCCTCTGTATCTTTCAGGAACGACAAGTTGAAGATCCACATGAGGAAACACACAGGAGAGCGGCCTTACCCGTGCCCCCACTGCCCCGCCCGGTTCCTGCACTCCTACGATCTGAAGAACCACCTGTCCCTCCACAGCGGGGCGCGGCCCTTCGAGTGCCCACTCTGCCACAAGGCCTTTGCCAGGGAGGATCACCTTCAGCGTCACCGCAAAGGTCACAGCTGCCTGGAGCTGCGCACGCGGCGCTCCAGGCGCGGCCCTGAGCTCATGGATAACGGGAGAGAGGACGGCGGCAGGAGAGAGCCGTCAGACCCTCTGGAGGTCGTGACCTCACAGGCCCACACCTCAGCGTTTCACCCTCACATGATACTGGATGCTGCGAGCGGGCACGGCGTGGGCCCTCCGCTAATGTTTCCGGGGGACATGGATAGGGGGCGCTCTCTGGCCCTGCAGGCTCTGTCCTCACAGCTGGGGCCCCACAGGCTGGCCGGGTACTCTGAGCTCTTCCTGCGGGGGCTGGGGCTGCGAGGGAGCAGAGAAGTCCAGGTGGAGGATCCGGGTGGAACCCACTCCCCCGGCAGGCTCCGTGAGCACTGGGCCGACGAGGTGGAGGAGAAGGTCGGAGACGAGGACGTGGAGGAAGAAGAATAGTAAACGTGGATGAGTGTGTCTGTGGTTGAACCGCCACAGGAAGTAAAACAAAAAAGAAGAAATCTCAGGTGGTCGGACTGCAGACCTGCCGCTCCCATATCAACAGCACTTAAAAAAAACTGAAATGATATTTGAAAAATATGGAACACGGGTTTTCAGAGATATTTTAAATGATTATTTTGTCTTTTTTTTTTTTTTGCTCTCTGCTTTTGATTTGTCTTTTATTTTTGTTTGCTGTTTCATTTTGTGTATTTTAAATTTTATTTTTTTTCCAGTTGATTTTGTATTTCTGACCTGTTCACTGGGATCAACGTCACTATGCAAACAAAAAAATCAGAGTAACATTTTGAAGGTTTATATTTCTGTTATAATATAATGGATCCAATCAAGTGCAATCCACAACTGCACGATCAGCAATAAGTTCGCCTACTCACCGACCTCTAGTGGTGATCAGTGGAAATGCAGCCTCATTAGTCAAACCTCTGCACATGTTGAGCAACAATGTTCATTTGTTTAAAAAAAAGAAAAGAAAAAAAAAGAATCTTTTGAATGATAGAATCTTTGCTTACATTTGGTGCTCGAACCAATTATTTTTTTATTTCCAGAGTGAAGAGGTGTCAGCTGTGGCCAACGTTGGGAGAGAATCTGTTAAATATGCAAGTGTCTGAGAGTAGAACTCTCTAAAAGCCTGACCAAAAACAGTTGTAACGAAGGGTTTGGATAATAATAATAATGAAGAAGAAAACTCTTTTTTTTTTTCTTTTTTTTTGCAAAAGGCTTTGAAGTTCAGTCTTAAAATGCACTCCTTTAAAATCCTGGTTTTGGGGTAAAAACAAATCAAAGGGCTGAGGTTAGGGTACATACATGAGAGGGCTTTCTCCCTTTTCTGTATTTATTTATTTATTGTTATTTATTGTGGCTTTTCTGCTGTAACTCTGGGGTGAGACCAAACTTAAGGGGGTGAAACAGACCAGTTTCAGGTCTGAGTCTTACAGGGAGCTGCGTTGTGCTAAAGATTTTGGGCTTCTCTTTACAGGCCGCGTTTCCTCTTCCGGCGAACTCTTCCTTAAACGCATTTTTTTGCACATTTGACCCGTGAGGTACTGCAGTAAAAAACGGACTCACTCCACCCTGCAGGGCACAGAGTCGGGAACGGAACTCACTTTGAAACCCGTCCATGTAGCTTTGCTGTGGAAAAAATCTGCACGTTTGGTACTGTATCACATGACGGCGTGGAGGTCGCGGTGTGAAAAAAAAGGGGCCATTATCGTTTGACCTTTGACCTTCGTTTGACCAAAAATCTATCTGTTTCCAGTTGTGGGTTTTACTCTCTGCTCCGCTGCATTTATTCAATGTAGTTCGGGCTTCGACGGAGGAGCACTTCTCCTCCTGCTCCTCCTCCTCCTCAGTTTTCCTGACGCCCATGTAGCCAGAACCTGCTGTAGCCAGAACCTGCTGTAGCAGTCCTGCGGTCGGGCCTTGTGTGTGTGTGTGTGTGTCCTCTGATCTGCTCCTTTGCTGTGTAGGCTGTAATCTTTTTTTTTTTTTGACTTTCCAGTTTTATTTGCACTATAAAATGTGAGAGCTTCAAGCCTTCTGCTCCGACTTCCATCCAACCTCCGTGAGCGACCCCGGTTTGAACTGGTCGAAGTCCGGCGTCTTAACCCACTCCCCCCTCTGTCCAATACTCCTCTGTCCTCCCTGTATAATAGTACAGTTTTGTCAAATGTAATATATGTTGGGAGTTGCCTTTAGTTTTTTTTTGTGTGCTGCAAATATTCTCAGGAAATCTTGAGCAATGCACTAAGTGATTGTACAAAGTAAATACTGCAGAACCACTGACACTCTTCATGTCGGCCTCAAGCCAGTAGTTAAAAAAAAAAGAAGAAAAAATGATCATACCATTTAACATTTGGACGATAAAAACAAAGAATTTACCTTTTTGTGAGGTAGAAAATTTGGTGAAATAAATCGGCAGAGTCTACTGGTCCACTGGGGTCCGACCGACAGGTGTGACGGTGCGTCCTGTACGTGAGAGGTGTCGGCGCTCGCGGTCAGAGCTCTGTGAATGTATGAGTGAGGGTCCACAGACGCCAGCTGTGAAGTGTGTGTTTCTGTGTGAGCGCTTTGTTTTTCCCGGCTTTGGTGAAGGGACTCTGGGGTCTGAGCACAGACCTGACCTGATCAGGGATTATATATATAGATATATATATATATTTTTGTCTTTGAGTTTTTAGTAGGACCTTCTCAGAGCTACAGACTCACCTCCCTGTGTTTCAGTTCATATTAAGAAAAAATAAATAAATTTATCAAAGATGCTCATGTTTGTTTTAGGTCTTATTTCTTTCGTCGTCTTCTTTTTCTTTTTTTTTCTTTTTTTACACGACTGACTCGTTCGTTCAACGCCCACTTCAGATCAGGTACGTCTGTTCCAACTGCACATTCATGCAAATGTCTAATTGGCCAATGACGCAACACTAACTCGATGCATTTTTATCTTGTAGATGTGAGGGGAGACGTCAAGTCCACGCCTGCGTCAGAATCTTGAGAAAAAAGGTAATTTTACTGTTTTTAAACGTGACATGTTGGAGATAAAAAAAAAACGGACTTAAATATTTCACAAATCACTGATGTGATTTTTTTTTTCTTCCATTTAGACCAAAAGAAAAATCCATGCAGAGACAGAAACAAAAAAGTTCTCTGAGCAACACCACCCCGCTGAGGTCAGAGGTCAGGAGAAAAAGACTTGTCTCATTGGACCTGCCCGGTGACACGTCTGTCAGGTAATCAATCAGACAATTATCTTTTTAATAGCCTTTTTTATAACCAGAGTTTTAAACAGACACTTCGTTAAAGTCGACCTCAACAGGAACAGGTGATTTTAAACCTGTTTAGGGTCACGGAGGTCACAGAACAGCTGGAGTCGAACCCAGCTGTCATCAGGTGAGAGGGAGGTTAGCCCCGCCCACCGTGACAGCACTAAAGCAATAAAAGCTAACAACTATGTTAGCTGTTAAAATAGCCGTAGCCAAAGATATTTCATTATTTTTATATCATTTCAACTTTAATCGTTTCTATAAAATTAATTGTAATTCCTTAAAAGAGCCAGAAATGCTGGTGAATTTCGATCAGTTCAACCTGATTCCTTAAAAAATATTTAAGTGACGAAAGCTGTTTTTACTAGCCTGCCGGGGTTTGTTCTCCTAAGGGTTCGCAAAACATTTTAGGAATTTTCAGATTTGGAAATTTTACATGAGAATTAAGAGTGAATTTAAAACATCAAATTTATTATAATTCTTTGTAGTTAATTAAGAGTGAATTTAAAACATCAAATGTATTATAATTCTTCCACTTTGACAAAAACGTTTTAAAATGTTTTTTTTCAAATCGAAGATTCATAGTTTAAAAAAAAATTAAATCGCATAATTAAAAAAAAACTTTTGTAAAATAGATGACGTCACACGCTGCAGTCAGTGAACTGATCTGCTCTGATGACGTCACACGCTGTAGTCAGTGAACTAATCTGCTCTGTTATCATCTGTCAACACTAATTATCGTCCCTTTTGTTCCGACTGTCTGAATAACGTAGCGGTTGAATTGTTTGTGACGTCATCAGTCTGATTCGACGTGACACGTGTTACAGTCGTGTATCACATTGTGACAGGTGGCAGTTAATTAGGCTCAGCGCGAGGCCGGACTCACAGGAGAAAATACCTGTGGCTCGGGTTCAGACCGTGACGCGTTTCTGAAGCCGGAAGCCGCGTCTGTGGGGAGGAAACGGTGCGGAGTTCGGTCCCTGTGGGGCAAACAGGGGAAACCTCCACAGACGTCAAAGCTCCATTTAACTCTCCTGTAGTTGGTGGTTAGTGGAGGGTTCGAATCCTGCATAAGACTGTAGATCTGTGGAGGTTCGTTTTTTGTGTGTGTGTATTTTATAGGTGAAGTGTTTTTGTTTTAGCTGCAGTAACGGCAACCTCCACATGGTGATGGTTGCTGTGCTGGAGTCAGGTTAGGCCAGCTGTGGGAGAGAGAGAGAGGGAGGGAGGGAGAGACAGGTGCTGTGAGTCGAACACCTCCAGTTGGGTGAGGTCACCATGGAGGAGGAGATCTCTGTTCCCGGAGGAGTTCATAGAACTAGACGTGTGTGCGCGCGTGCGCGGGGACGACTTGTTCACTTTAATAGACGTTGACTTCACTTATTAATTCGTTGTCTGTGATTGGTGCAGAAGTGAAGTGCGGCAGGGACAAAGGAAATGCAGAGGGAGGGGGAGGTCTCATCTCCCATCATCCCTCAGTGTGTGTTTTTGTTACCTTTATTTTGATTAGTTAGATTTAGTCATCGATTGTGTCTTGATAGAACAAAGATTCGGCCGCCCTCTGGCGGAAGCAGTGTGTATTGCAAGCCTAATTCTAAGCACGTTCGTTTTACTTGACTTGCTTCAAATAATATTAAAAGTAATTTAACACGTGTGTAGAACAAGATGGAAACGTTAACAGTTTCCATGTTTAGATTTGTTTTTTCCTATAATGAAAAGGCGCAATATTTGCCTGTACACTCTCGTCTCTTTAGAATAAAACGCAACTCGTCCTCAAATATGGCAATAATTTATTTATTTTTTTCACAAAGCATGAAATAAATTTTGTTAAGTTTCCCCCACAGACAGGCGACGTCGATCTGTACAAAAGAAAGGCGTTGGAAAGAGTAGTGTCTGTTAATTCAGTGAGAACAGGAAGTAGGGCGTTGGCATTAAACAGGTCGGTGATGTTCACTCGTCATGTGACGTCAGTTAGAAAGACTTGTGTGGGGGTTTTTTTTTTTCATTCCATTATCGAAATGTTTAAAGTCGAGGCAGAGCATCCATCCCTCCCTCCTCTGAGCATTTGCTTAGACTGTACGAGTCCTGAAGAGCACCTTCCTTCACCTATAAAAAACAACAGGCTAGCAAAACACCAGAACGTCCGCTCAGACCCACAGACCAAAGTAAGAGGAGGAATTTAAAAGAGCCCTCTTTCACCAGTGATGACGTTCAGGTGAACCATCCTGGAGGACTCTGTGGGAGGGTGGGCTTCATGGTGCCATCCAGAAAGGCATTAGCTGCTGCTGCTGCTGCTGCGGCGGCTGTGATTTAGCACGTGGAGGTGGTGGAGGAGGGCAGCGATAGCCCTGTGTCCAGCCTGAGGAGGTGGAGGTGGGGGGGGCTGCCCCAGGGTTACCTGGACCTGAGGCTTTGTTGGAGGAGTGGTCTTCCTCTTCATCAGAGGAGTCTCCAGTGTATGCTACTAAACCTGTTTTCACCCTCTTCACTGCAGGTTCTGTGAGGATGACGAACACAAACAGGAGGGTGCTGCTGCGGCAGGAGAGAGAGAGAGAGGAGGAGAGAGAGGAGAACCAAAAACAGCAGCAGCAACATTTTTTTCAAAAAGGTAAACGGTGAATCATTGAAACACATTCAGGGAGAAACAAATAGTTAATGACACGTTCAGATTGAAGAGGAAGGGACAGCCATTGGTAAGCAGCCATTGGTTGGTGGGGAGCGACAGTGTTAGGGCCGTCCAATCGGGTGGCAGGACAGTGTCACGGGACGCGTCGTGCCCCACCCCCAATCAGAATCCAGCATCAACCCAGAGATACATGAAAGACAAGGAGAACACAGAGAAAAAGAGAGAAAAAAAAACACAAAACAAGAGAGATCCTCGTTAGTCACATAAGTCAACAAACTGTGGACACTCCAGACTGATGATGTCATCTGAACGGGTCGGCCGAGAGCCTTCGACCTCCGATCAGACTTCTCTACAAACAACCGCTACACGAATGTTAGCGTCGGCAGTTGTCAGTGAAATAAGTGACAGTCTTACAGAGAGAATTTTACAGTCAGGCAGACGGTGTTAAACATCTGGGTCGCACACTGTGTGGGCTGGGTCGTGCGGTCGTTCGGCAGAGCAGCAAGGCTGCCGGACTGGTTCAGTCGGGGACACAGAGAGGTAGCCTCGCCCAAGACGATTTCCAGGGACAGGATTCTAACCACATTGAACGCATACTTTAACTACTAAATGAATTACCGTAATGTCTGGACTAGTACTCCTGTTGTTGTTGTTTTTTTCTTTTGTAGTTCAGCTGCTCCTGAGACTTGTAACCCCAGGCAACTGGACCCACCTCAAGTAAGTTGAAATGTATGCTATATTATCTACGACCACAAGAGGGCACCGTATACATGCATGACATTTAAAGGCCTCTACAGCACAGCTGAAAAACTTCTTGCTTTAAACAAACAGAATACTACGATTGTAGAATACTGTACACATTTAACTACAGTTTAAACTTTGACTGATACTTTAACACCACCAGGGTTAGTTACACTTTTTACCCTGTGGTTATTTCCAGTTTTATAAAGTGTAACACTTTGGAGTACTACAGCTAATACAGTCCTATACCTGGACTCCAAGTACTTTATACTAAGTGAAAATAGATTTACAGTTATGCTTTAAGCAGACACTTTTATCCAAAGTAACTTACAGAGGAGGGTAAAACGTTATCAAGCTTGTGGTTCCTGTGGGAGTCAAACCCAGGACTCTCTGGTCTCTGCTTCCCAGGCAGACTTGCTAACCGCTACGCTATGGAACCAGTACAGATTGAATCAGTGTCCAGTCAGTCCTCATGTTAATGTACTTACCCATGGAGCCTTGAGGCAGCCTCCTCTCCTCCATCTTGGGTCGACCTCCGTTCACAGACAAATGTGGGGGGGGCATTAGCTGCCGACTGGGGGGGGGGTGTAAAACCACAGTGTCAAACACCAGCGAGTACAGCGTTAATTACACAGACAATACTTTAAAATACATGTACGTACCTGTCCCTCTCACTGGCTGGACCAGAGGAACTCGGTGGTGGGGGTCCTACGGTCTCAGGGCTGCCCACTGAGAAGCCTGCACCTAAATTAGTCATATGAATGGGTCCATGCTATGAGCAGAAAAACACACAGTGTCCATTAGCACAGGCTCTGACCTGACTGCTTTAACAGACCTCACGTAGCACTAGAGTACAGCTGGTTGTCAAGGCAACGTCACCACTCACTGTGGCAGGTAGTCTAACTTAGCGCTGCAGAAATACTACCTTTTTGGAATACTTAATTCTAGCAGCTGTAACGCACAAGTAAGTGAGGAGCAGCAGCAGGAGGAGACAGCAGGTGGCGCTATCTCAACCACTGAGCATTAAACAACTACAGACAGGAGGAATCAAACCCCAAACAGTGAGGCAAGACAGCGGGTAAGGCCCGAGGCTGACGGACGACCGGCACTACAGGCAGGTTAAGTCAGGCAGAGAGACTGGAGCTAGGGGTCGAACCAAGAGTGGTTAAAGACGGGAGGAGACCAGAGGAGTGAAAACAGCAGTTTGTTACCTGGTATCCCAGCAGTCTCCTGTCTCTCTCATCTGGCACCTCCTCAGTGAAGCGTCGTTTCTGTGGTGGGTTGGCCGAGGCGGCGGCGGCGAGAGGTGCTTTGAGCGGTGCTGCCGTGGCAGGAGGGTAAGGTACTGACGCAAGAGTCTGTGGGAAAAGAAGAGGTTTTAGTCGAGGATAAAAGACGACAAGTTACAAAAAAACAAAACAAAAAAAAAGACTAAGTATAATTAGAGGTCTGTACCTGAGGGATGGTTTCTGGAGCAGGAACTGGAGCGGGGGCCAACACGGGAACTGGTGCATGGGCAGGAGCTGGAAGTGGAGCAGGGGGTAAAGGGTACTGGGAGAGAACACCTGTGGGGGCTGCAGGAGGTATAGGAGGGGGGACAGCATAAGGTGGAGGGACGGGCTGAGGCGGGGGGACAGGCATGGGGTAGCCTGACTGGTATCCAGCAGGGGGGTAGTAGGAAGGCTGGGGGGGCATTCCATTCACCACTGAGGGCTGCCCAAATCCTGGAGAGGAAGAAGTGGAGAGTCTTAGACGAATTAGGTCAAAGGTCACGTGTTAGCATCCATTTAGGACAAAAAAAAAATGAGTCTGTTTACCTTGTTGTGTTGGAATCACTGTGTTCATCTGACTCAGAAACCGAGAATATTCTGCATGGACCTGTGACACAAACACAATGTGATTCAAACACAAAAGTGACGGTTGAATTTCTGTAACTTTTTTTTGGATTTGATTGGAAAGCAGGGGGGTAGTAGGAAGGCTGGGGGGGCATTCCATTCACCACTGAGGGCTGCCCAAATCCTGGAGAGGAAGAAGTGGAGAGTCTTAGACGAATTAGGTCAAAGGTCACGTGTTAGCATCCATTTAGGACAAAAAAAAAATGAGTCTGTTTACCTTGTTGTGTTGGAATCACCGTGTTCATCTGACTGAGAAACCGAGAATATTCTGCATGGACCTGAGACACAAACACAACGTGATTCAAACACAAAAGTGTCGGTTGAATTTCTGTAACTTTTGTTTTTGGGTTTGATTGGAAACGCAGTGAAAACAAAAATCTGTGTTGAGATAAAACTACTCACTGTCTGAAGCAGGTTTTCACACAAGGTTTTGGCTGCTGCGAGTCCCTCTGGTTTAGGATGACTGCAGAGGGAGAAGTGTGAATTTAGGTGAAATTATTTTCCAGGTCATTTCACTTTTCCCCTCCTCCTTTTCCATAGGTTTTCCAGGACGTGAGGGAACACTCTACTTGAACCATAAAGCAGCACTGACCTGATGTAGATGTACATTGGCTCAAAGGCCTCTCGTCCAGACGCGGGCTCTAAACAACCAGACCCTTTTCCTCTGAGAAAGACTTTGGCGCCGGTCTCGGCCTGAATGTGCTGCAGGTACGAACAGCCGGGTCCCTCGACGCGCTCCTTCACCACGAAGCCTGGAATGGCGTGCTCCAGGCCCACAAAGACTTTATCTTGAACGTAATGCATCTGTGACAGAAGGATAATAAACGACTTTTACCAAATGTTGTTGCATGATTATTTTTCTTACTGTTTCTTCTTAAACTACATTTAAAAAAAAACAAAAAAAAACCATCTTCCTCACCCCCGACTGAAAGTGTGGTTTGTGTTGGGTTACGGGCGGCAGCGTGGATGGAGACGGGTTTTGCTGGTGGTATATTGTAACTGGAGCTCCACTGGAGGAAAAGGATGAAGACGAGGACGATGATGATGACGAAGCAGTAGCTGCCTTGACCACACCATTGGTTATTATTTCTTTGATTCTATTCACAGCCCCTGGAGAGTGAGGATATAAAATACATATAAAATAATTTCTTTGATTCTATTCACAGCCCCTGTAGAGTGAGGATATAAAATAACATCCAATCACAGTTAGCACATATGAATGAAGGCATTAAATATTGATATGAAGGTTTTAAAAATACTGACTGTCCACGAGCTCTCTGGTCTGTCCTTGGACATGAAGGTACAAAGGTCGATCTCTGAGGAAGAAGAAGAAAGAAAGTTCTCACCACCACCGCAGGGGGGCAGGTTTTATGACTAGCTGCTGAGAACAACACAAGCAGTTACCCTGGAAGACCTTTTCCTTTCTCCTCCGTTGTCATGTAGCGCCCTCTGGTGGAAACAGCTGCACCACTGACTTTACTGATCTGCAGGTGAAGCAAATGAAGACAACATAAATATCATCAACTGAACCTGAATAAGAACAGAACAACACAAGTCGACACTGCTGCAGACCTCGTCCTGTGTTTGACCCCGGGTCAGGAGATTTCGACAGGTGATTGGAACGTCGTTGATTTCCACCTCTGCCACCACCAGGTCGTCTTTGGCCTTTGCTGGAACCGGAGGCTTCCCCATACTGACAACCTGAGAGAGGAAGAAAAACATTTTTTAACTAGTTTTACTGTTTACTCTAAATTGTCACGGTGAATGTGTCTTAAATACTGAATGTCATTGTGTTGGAATTAATTATAGCCTGCATGTATTTTTTAAATAAAATAATAAATAAATAAAAAAATGTCTCTTTTTTGGTATTCCTAAATTTCACAAAGAGAACTCCAGAGGGATTAATAAAGTTCTATCTATCTTTTGCTGATGAAGTTTCCAGACCTTTGACCTACCTACAGATTAAGCATACACAATATATCCCAGTAGGCACCGTTTATAACTATGCCTTTATCCGATGTGGGACTTTTACCTTTTCAGGAAGTCCCGGCGGCCCGATCTGAGACGGCTTCAGTTTGCCCTTGGCCACCAACATGGCATTAATCTTAGCAGCCACTGCTGCAGCTGCGTCCAGAGCACCGCTGGGTGCTGCTTCACTCTCCCCGGTCCCAGAAGAAGAACCATGGCCAGGACCGGGGCCGGGCTGGTCCCATTTGCTGCGCCGGCTACAATAACAGCAAAAATAAAAGACACGTTTTCAGTTCAACTGGCATATGTTTATTGCCCTCGATGTAACTATTTTTTGGACGACAGAGAACCTACACAGACATGTTAGTACGGTGACAAAACAGCTGCTGTTACACAGTCGGGCTGTTCAGGTGTACAACATTGACAAAGGCATTTTAATTATAATGTAAACTCAAAACAGTTCATAAAGGGTGCAGAATTAATATGAAATAAAACACGGTTGTGGTATAATCTGCTGACGACAGACAACAGTGCGTCTTTCTTACATAAATTGGATATCGTTGGCCCGTCAGCTACCAGGAGCTTCTAAACAACGGCTAAAATTTGACAAAGATGGGAGACCGGCTTTAATGCACTCACCCGCCGCCATTTTGAGTTCCACAGTATGACATCAATGTCCTACCAAATGCTAAATAATGTTTAATAAAAATAAACGAGCTCAAAAGGGCTCCAATTTACCGAGCTTCACAGCCCTCTGTTTTGGCTACGAGCTACTACAGCCGTGATTCTGTTTCCGCTTCCGGTTAAAGTATTTCAGAGAAAGAGCACAAGATGGCGCCAGAATCAAGGCAAATGCGGTGGTTCGGTGTGTCTCTGCGGCCGTTTAACTCGTGCATCTTAGGTGAGTTTCTTTTGAGGACCTTCAAAGTCTTTAAAGTCTCTAAATAAGGTTTTAAGAGAAGGACATTATGACGAGTAAAAGGTCACTGCAGGTCATCGTTGTTAGTAGAACAGCTGGGAAGACATGAGGCTGGAAGTGGGGCCTACTCAGAGTTCACTGATCCTGGTCAAGGCCTGGAAATGTGGAAGGAAGGAGTGATAATGTAGCAGAAACATTCAGTTGAAGGAAATAAGACATTTTTTAAAGCAAGTTTCAACTGAGAATAGAACAGAAAATAAAACATTATTTTGCTGAAAGACAAACACCAGTCACGGTGCTGCTGTCACTGTGAGGACATTATAGATATTAGACCTCATTTGTTGGGTTTTCTCTGGTACTTCTATTTTGTTATTCAGTCCACATACAGGATTAGGTAGGACAAGGTTCACGCTGTTCACTCTTAATTGTCTTAAGGTGTTAATATGAGTGTGAATGATTGCATGTTTGTTTTTTTTCTGCACCACTAGTTCCGTGTTAAAACCAAAACAGCCACTTGGTAGGGATAAAACATAAAGGACTGTATGTAAGAAAGAACCATTTACACTCACAAACTTACGGTATAATACATATAGTACAATTAAACCAGGGGTCAGCGACCTTTTTGAAACTGAGAGAAGTACGAAGAACTACTTGTTTGATTCTGACTTCGAGCCAATATTTATTCAAAAAAACGATAAACATTTGCTGTGCTGGGAGGAGGACGAGATCTGTTTGTTTGTTTTTAAAGGAATATTCAAAGTATCAGCGGATTGTTACTGACGCACGCAAACGATGACGAACGGTGTGTACAACAAACCAGTTCAGTTCCACAGTGGACTGATACGGAGCGGTGTCACGGTAATGTTACTCTACCTGCACGAACAAACCGCGGCGCTCCGCTGAGGGAAGTGTCAGAAGGTCAAAGGTCAGGGGAGCTCTGAGGTCTGAGTTGACAGGGATGACTGTTTATGGGAACGATGCTGTCGGCAGGAGGAGGCAGGAGAGC